GTCCAAATGAAGTACAAAAATCGAAAGGTCAGAATATCTCACATTCCGCTTGCCTACAGGCCTTATGCGGCGGGATCTATGTCACCCCCACCAAAGGGGGTTCGTTACCCCCACGTTTTGCGCGCCCATCAAGGCTAGGTTATCCTGCCCACTTCGCGGGCGGCCCAGCCCACTGAGGTCTCGCGACGACATTACAGTACCTCTAACTGTAAGTGTCAGTCGAACTAATGATTTGCACTAGTTCATGTTATCTCCACTTTGAGCTGACTTCCGTAGACAAAGCGCAAATCGTATGCCCACTGAACACTGCGACGTCTGTCAAGTATCGCGAGATGACACGCCGCCTGCGGCGTGACCGAGTTCCGGCGGACGCGAGGAAGTTGGAAGTTTGTGGACGGTTCAAAAAAGAAAAAGCCGGGACAATTTCTCCTTTTCAGTTTACTGCCTGCCTTTGATGTAGGAATCAATAAACTAAGAGAACTAAACAAATGAAGTACAGGATTTACAGAAAGCTGATGAAGGTGGCGACAAAGAAGAAGGAGGAGGTGAAGAAAAGCCAGCAGAATCTCCAGCACCTCCGGTTCCCAAACCACCAGCAGTTGGAGGGGTCGCAGGTCTTTCTTGAGACATATCTGTGCCGAGTTTCCTTTATGTGGCTTGAGTATAGCTTTGAGAGTTTCATCGTGTTGAGGAAACAGCTATAGTATCCACTTGTTTTTTAGGAACACATGACCCTAACTATCAAACATTGGCCGGAGTCGGTGGTGACGTCTTTGGAGCTGATAAGAAAGCTGCTGAAGGAGGTGCACCAGCACCAGCAGCTCCCAAAGCTCCAGCTGTTGGTGGTATCGCTGGTATGTTGTATAAGCTTCTAGCATCAATCTACTTCACATATATCAAAAGGCTATCATTTCGGCTTAGAGTTAGTCAGCCCACCAGTACAATCATCCCTTTCCATATTAAGGTATGGGTGATAAACAATGACCGTGGGATGACTGTGGCTCCCAGAAATGTCCCAGAAGCATGGTAAAACATAAGATAATATGTCGGCTATAACTGTTTCAATCCATTTGTTTAGGAACGAACCCATAGTCTTCTCAAGCGAGTAAGTGTAACCCTATTGAGAGCCCACAGCATACCTCACCCCAGGCGTTCTCTTCTGAGCTTTAGGAAAACGGAATGATGAAGAATCGTCTGCTTGTGTCAGCACAAATACAAGATTCAGTTTTTTCAACTCCTGGTCGATGCCTCATCCATCATTTCTAAAAAATTCAGAAACCCTTGAATCACAATCTGATCCCTCTTCTCACCTTTGCTTCAGTACTACCAGAGCCCATTTTGAATTCCTTTTTCAGCGACTCATGATCCCAACTACCAAACACTGGCCGGTATTGGAGGAGATGTATTCGGAGCAGACAAGAAAGCAGCAGGTGGAGGAGGAGGTGGTGGTGGTGGTCCAGCTCCGCCAAAGCCTGGAGCAGGAGGAATGGCAGGTCAGATTCACGTTATGTCCCCGATTAATCTACTATGTGGATAAGGGTTCTGGGGCGATCGCACATTTCATTAATACTTCTCCAGGAAATAGGGTAAGGACCCATGAGATGAAAGCAGTTGTTTGAAGAAAACTTCCCAATAAAATTTTCAGTCTATCCAAATTACCATTGTGTCCTCTATTTTGCTTTTTTACTCCCAAAAACTGAGTTAGCATAATTTTTAAAAGAAACTCACAAAAGTCCGCATCTCAACAACAATATTGAAGCAACTCACGATCCTAACTACCAAACTCTGGCTGGAATCGGAGGAGATGTATTTGGTGCCGATAAGAAAGCAGCTGGTGGTGGGGGTGGTGGTGGAGGTGGACCTGCACCACCCAAACCTGGAGCTGGTGGAATGGCTGGTAAGGCTTGAACACATTCTTGCCTTGGATTCTCTAAAATCTCGTAACTACGAAAAGAAAAAGGCGATTCTCATCAATTAAATGGTATGAATTTTAATGATAATGTCGTAGCAACGCATGATCCCAACTACCAAACCCTCGCTGGAATCGGAGGAGACGTATTTGGTGCCGATAAGAAAGCAGCCGGTGGTGGTGGTGGTGGTGGTGGTGGCGGGGGTGGACCCGCACCACCCAAACCTGGCGGGCCTGGAATGGCAGGTGAGTAATTCGAATCCAAAGTTTGAACTCGCTGAATGAAGTTCTGTTGCAATTCGTTATAGGAACCTTCGATCCAAACTACCAAACACTTGCTGGAGTCGGTGGAGATGTCTTTGGAGCCGACAAAAAGGCCGGCGGCGGTGGTGGTGGGGGCGGAGGTGGTGGAGACAAACCGAGAGCTCCTGCCAATCAAGTAAATCTGTTTTCTTCGGGACTATGGGAACTTTGCTCATCAGGTGCCCGACTGTTCCTTTGGGAAGCGATCCCATGAAATGGGTATAGGAAAATTCATTAAGTCCCAATAAATTCTCAAAATCGGCAACCAAGTTGTCCATCCTGGTGATACAATCTGACGGTTCAGTCGATTAGGACTTCAGCAAATGGTGTGTGCAGGATAACCCACTCTTCCGAGTTTCTAGGCGGCAAAAGCGGCAACCTTCGACCCGAACTACCAAACCCTTGCTGGGATTGGTGGCGATGTGTTCGGAGCTGACAAGAAAGGCGCTGGTGGTGGTGGCGGTGGAGGTGCAGGCAAACCTAAAGCTCCTGCAAATCAGGTCCGGTAGACTTTTCGTTGTCACTGAGAAGCCTCTTTGGTAATTATCCGCTATTGAAGCAAGCTAAAGCCGCAACATTCGATCCCAACTACCAGACACTGGCAGGAATCGGTGGCGATGTGTTCGGGGCCGACAAAAAGGGAGCTGGAGGAGGAGGTAAGCCTGCTCCACCGAAAGCACCAGCTAACCAGGTACGCTTGCCCGAATCATTTGACAGTACACCAATTCTCAACTGATTTTCTATTGAAGGGTGCTAAAGCAGCCACATTCGATCCAAACTACCAAACTTTGGCCGGCATTGGAGGCAATGAAATATTTGGTGCTGACAAAAAGAAGAGATAATCTCACAGAATTCTTGCTTCTATCGAGACAAGTATTGAGTCGCAAAAAGAGCATAAACTCACAATACAGCATTGTTCATCAATATATAATTACATATATTGCAACTTCAAAAAACAAAGTCATCAACTCGTCTCAATTTCATGAAGGGGATACCTAATGCTAGCCGTAAAGGAGATTTTTCATCAGTGAGACACTATGCCCTCAGAAGTGAGCATAGGGGGAAAAGAGTATTCGGAATAGATGAAAGAGATTGAGGTTATACAGGTTTGAGGGATGGACGTCGCCGAAAACCTTCCATAACTGGGCGGACCTACTATTTGCCCAAAACGATTCGATTCCTGACCAACTCCAGGTGATCTCGCTGGGATTGCTTATTTCTAATTTCCTCAGGTCATGATTGACCAAGTAAGTGTGCTCAGCTATAGTTTCAAATGGCTTTTTGCAAGCTCTTTCCTGTGGTGCGAAGACTGAAGTTCTCTGGGCGACGATAAATCTCTTTTGGGGATGCGCCTCCGCATTCGACTCCCATTCAGAATCGCAGTGGCATTTTGGATGCGTACATGGCCCCTACAACTTGCGGTGGCCAGCCAATGTACAAATCAGTGCTTTTACCCTCTCAGACAACCTGGCAGCAAGTGAGCGACCCAAGAGGTATGGAAGGCTTGGTAGACCTGGGCGGATATCGATGCGGTATTTGAACCCATAACCGTGTGTGAGTGATAGTGATTCCCTTGCCATTACACCATGTAATGGTCTGATCAATAAAATAAGTGAGGTGAATCCGGAGAGTTTTCTGAACTCGAGGTAACTCTAGGGTGTCAAAAACAGAAACAAGAAATGGTTGTATCAGCTGATAGCCGTTTTTTTTTTGAGCGAACACTAGTAGTGTTTCAGTTCGTCCTTGTTGTGAGGAGTAAGGCCCTTTCCTTTTTTCTAGTAGAGTTTACTTCAAGATACTCGATCAACAAGTATGTCTACCTTCTAGAAGGAAAAAGCTATTCTCACGAGCTTTCTTGGAATAGGTCCCAAATGGAATAACTTTTTGTAAATGGTTGAGTATAAGAATATCGCTAATCTCTGTGCGACAGTGACTGGCCAGCACAGATCGTAAGAATGGCCACACATAAGGATATAGTATGGCCCGTATTACTAGAAGGCCTACGGAACTTTCTGGCTGCTACAGGATTCATGGGACGTAGGACGTTATGCCCATTCCACTCAGAGCGCCCGCTGATTCTTAGTCAGTTACTTTTCAACGCGCCATGCCCTGGTTTGTTGCCAATAATTAGTTGCCGCGTTGTACAGCATGCCGCTCAGAAACAACTCTGCCACCCAGATTCCGGCTTTTTCACAGCTCTCAGGATAATACTCCCACAGCGTCGTTGCAAACTGCAGGGGAACGGACTGATGGGGAATTGTCCATTTATGTCAACTCNATTAGTTGACGCGTTGTACAGCATGCCGCTCAGAAACAACTCTGCCACCCAGATTTCGGCTTATTCATAGCTCTCAGGATAATACTCCCACAGTGTCGCTCGTCTAAAGTGCAGGGGAACGGACTGATGGGGAATTGTCCATTTATGTCAACTCTAACTGAATATTCAGGTTTTCGTTCCATGATCGATGTCTGTTTTTTGCCATTTGGGTGGCAGAATGGGTGGCAAATGAGTTACAATCTGGTCCCTGGTCTCACCTTTCGCTGTCCCCTTCAAGAACGACGGGTGCCATTCATTTTAATAAGACCACGTGAATGTCACAAGGTTCACAGCCTTTGTAATCGACGAGAGAACGGCGGAATTAATCTTATAAAATGAGCTCAAGTAAATAACATTGGCATATACCCATATACTCTATATGGCCATTAAAGAATATGGGACTTTTATTGGATGTGGGTAGAGATTGATCCTTGGGAATGGCTATTATTAGATTGGCTGTTCAGAGAAGTTCTGACTACTCGAAGACATCATGTAACCCGTGAAACCAAGTGGATGCTCTTCTGGGTATCAGAAATTATACTTGCCCTCTCCTTGGCGTACCTGCCCATGTGGGAACAGAAAGACTGGCTTTTCTATTCCATACTTTCGTATATTCCAGCTGGGATCGCTTAGGAGTGGGTTCGAAAGTTTAGGGCTAATATTTGGACGCTTAAGCTTGAGAGGATTTCAATCAAAGCTTCCCCTTCGTAGTAAGTCGCCCATTCTCAGGCTTTTGGCAAGAAGTCCGATGCCGTCGACATCCCAATCAAAACCACTTAATGCCGTATGTTTTTTTTGTTGTATTGAGAAATGACTTTCGAGATCTGAGCTTGAGAATGACAGCTTATGAGATCTCATAGTTCCCAGTTACTTTGCAGTTGCCTTGGAAAATAATCCCCTCTCATGAGTAAGCTTGGGAGCAGAGGCAATACTCAGAAAATGTTACTCTTCTAGTCAACTATTCTTCGAATGGTCTTCCGGCATCACAGGTTAAATTGAACCCTTGATTTGAGTATTACGAAGGGAGGGAGAATGTTGTTTCTACATACTACAAGGATGCGCCATGAACGGGATCCCATGAAGGTTAGAGGGTTCGAATGAACTGCTGATCAATGACTAGGAATTTTCGGAAAGCATCTAGTATACTAGCAAAAACGATATAGATAATTATTATCCCTAGCAATGAGGTGGACAATGCCCAGAACATAGAAGCGGTGCTCATCATAGGCAATTCGCTTTCGCTGCTGGCTAAAGACATACAGTAATGAGTTTCCGAGAAGGGATTTTAAGTTTTTGCCAGTCATCGATTCTTCGAGAAATCTGCCAAATGAAGGGAGTGGTCGGAGTTCATCGCTCATGGTTCAACGCTACTTATTGCCTGGGCACATGATCATGATATATTTTACAACTATACTCTTGCCTTTCCATACTGGAAGGAGAGTGCAGCATAGAACCTATTATGGATTGCCTTCGAATACACCCCGCGATGAAGACGATAAAGCTACTGAGGCAAATCGATCATTTGCGTGGGCAAAAGGACCATTTGTTCACATTACTATCTCCTACAAACGGTGGAGGTGATGTAGTAGCAAGAGGCGCACTATCACTCGCGAATGGTCAAGGGTTCAGGTCCTGGCTCGATATCTGCCTGAGTTTGCTAAGGGGTCGGTCGGCCCATCCCTCTTAGGTCGGTCTGAGAGGATAAAAAAATCTGACTCGTACATCAGGTGGCCCCCACAAGCCATTGTATTGGCTACCTTTACCTCCGCATTCAATACGCTTTTATGATTCTGAGTGGAAGTCGAGTGCGGGGGCGCATTCCCAGACGGGATTAATTGAAGCCAAAAACTTTATTATTTCATTAACTTGCATTTTCTCCAAGTCCGCCAACAATCAGTCAGTCATGGGAAACCTAACAACACGACCAGAAGCCATTTTTATCCAGTGCTGAAGACAATATCACAGTATAATCCGCTGAGAGCGGAAACCCTTGGCCTAGTGTGTGGTCCATAAAAGTAATGGCTATGGATATAATTGCTGTATTGACGTCATTAAAAGGGAATGTTAGATATAATGGTGATTGAATGTGTATAAGGGCTTCCTACGTAGCAGACTATATATATGGTTATGAGTTTTTGATATTCCAGTAATGCTATAGAATATTATGCATCACAGGGCGGCACATACATCTTGGAATGAGCCATGCATTCTACTTCCACTTCATTATTCCGATCAAGCACCATTGTGTTAGGCGAAGCCTACAGTTTCCATTCAGAAAAGAGTTAGGTGTAACTTACCAACCCCAAGTCAGAAGGTCTGGATTGGTCCCAGCATTAGTGAAGGAATCTGATCTTCGGGGAGCGGGTTCGGTCCTGGTTCCATATGTCGCTACAGCATATCCGTCCTATCTGGGTTAAACAATTTGAATGAACGATGGTCCGAACGATGGTCAGACTCAAATTCATTACCAGTAAGGGAACTCCCCCGGAAATAACGAGAGTTTCCATTAGAACTCCTACAGCGTACTCTTTATTGATACGGACATAACTTGGTCAAAGCAATATAATACCAAGGATAATGAATGATAAGAGATGATACGAAGATAATGAAATAATGATTGTCTTTTTACAGTATTCACAACACAAAACAAGTTTAAATGACGCGTATGAGATGATGGGCGAAATGATGTGTCGGCCAGATGATCTTCATCAGCAGCCAACCGACACTCATTTTTGTTCATTTGGTGGTTTCACTTCAATCTTTTTCTCCATTGTATCTCCTTCCTGAAAAGAAATGGATACTGTCAGACTGCAAATATCGTAGTCTTCTGCATGAAGCCTTTTGGACTATTGGAAACTCCTTCATAAATATCCCATGGTTGAGATACGCATGATCTTTGATCAGTGTTCAGGGGTAATTGGGTGCCACACAAATCAGGAAGGTCCCACTCAGGAAATGGCAAGGATAGCTGGACAGATATCAAGCTAATGGCCTAGTAGAACAAGCCTATGAGCAAAGAAGGATTCATGCCTCTCCTACATAACTATTCCAGTCCAACAAATCCAAGAAAGGCTTCCATTTTGAATCCTATCCAGAACCAGAGAATCGTGATCATCTTGCTAAGTCACCTTTCTTACTTTCACCTTTCTGTCATCAAATTACCAGACCATCCAAAAGAAAATCTGCCCTCTCCGTGACTGACAAAAGAGCTACAATTTTCATGCATTCAATAGTAGCTGCCCAAAAATTTCACACGATGTTCATAGTCTTTTTACCTCCATGAGCGATCGCGATTTCAAGATCTCCCACAGTGGACTGGGGAAGTTTCCGATGACAGAGGAGGGCTATCAATAGAGGAATGTCAGCATAATTCCTAGCCTAGCTTCCCAACCAAGTTTCTTTGGACAAAGTTCGAATATCCTAGGAAGAGATAACCGAATAGCGTGCCTACAGGTTTCAGCAAATATGTGGGCGTTACTCATCAATGTGTCACCTTTTTTCCTGAAAGCAAACCACTCAAAGAGGGTTCATTGACCAGCTGACGCGATTCCTTTTGCTAGAAATTGCTTCATTAGAGGTAAGCTTGCAAAAGAAATTGTTTTTCAAGTTTTTGCTGCAAATTGCAAGCGCATCGCTTTGCTTATGACTTATTGCCTCCTTCAGTCATCAACGAAAACGCTGAGGAGCACGCTATCCATTGAAGAATCTCGTAAGTTTGTGAAGTGGCGTGAAAGAAGTACACTTGTACTTTTTTACCCGGACCTTTCGAAAGAAAACTCCAGGTTCTGAGCAAATCGATTCATAGGAGCTGGGTGCACCTGTGAAAGAAAACCTGAAGAAATTGGTTCTAAATATAGGGAGGACGTCTACATCTCTAAGAATGGACGGTAGTGAATAGTGAAAGTAGTTCTTCCAAGAGATATGACGGGAATCCAGATCAGACGAGAACGAATTCGAAATGGGAACTGTTCACCAAGTCTGTACTAGAGACCTTCGTCTGTTGGGCAAAATCTCTGAGACCTAAACAGACCTGGTAGGTATTTTATAACACAAAAATGAATCTACGGTCTATCCAAAAGTTTAAAAGACTCGAAAGAATAGACCCAAAGTTCATTCCGACTTGCTCCCGCCCGCGACGCCCTTGCCTGGCCTACTTGCTGACAATTCGAGAAAGTAAGATATTTAATTTCCAAATATGCCTGCTCAGAAACAATTCCACAGTTTAAGAGGGANNNNGACGTGAGTGACTCTTCTTTCAGAAGGAGCTTTGTGTGTGACTGCAATCCAGGATTTTCGAGACACTTGGTGGGAATTATGAACGTCTGGGATGACGCAGGTTCAT